GTACTAGTTGATCAATGTACTAGTTGCTCTTGATGTGTACTTAACAGATCCTCTAATAATGTAGTCATAATTGTGATCTGTGCATGTATTGAATGTATTAATTCTATTGACACTTAATACTTACTATTTAATACATGTACATATTTATTTGTAATAATATTTGACCGTGAAAATACTGTAGCAGAGGGATAACTTGTGGTACAGGTATTTCACGGACAAGGGAGTGAAAGGTAAGTGATAATTACTTATGTAGAACACAGGTATGTATTTAAATAGATAAGTAATTAACAGATAAGATAAATGTAATATAAATAGGATAAGATAAGTTAATGATAATAATAAGATAACAAGAGGTAAAGGTAATCAACATTATGGATAAGTACTTATGTACATAAGTACAGGTGTTGCAGTTACTTGGTACATGAAAGGTACTGTGACATGTACTCTGTGGCTGACACCACTCATCCGTGGTGGACCCAGGTGTCTCTGGAGAAGAGTCGGGCTACCTGTTGGCTCCGGTGGACACCAGTCGATCGTCTGACAAGTCGCCCGGATCCGCTAAGCGCTCCAATCTGAAATCCGCATCTCGTCGGCCATCCCCTGCAGTCTCTGTCGTCATCCCTCGAGTCAAGAAGAGGAAATTAGGTGGAAGATTAAAAGAGGATACGCCTGATTCGATCGCTAAGCCTAAAGAGAGTCGGGATTTGAGTCAATCATAACGAGTTCAACTCAAAATAGATTCGTGATCTAATTCGCTCGATCCAACACTTTGGTGATAGATAACATCCTCGCATACTACATGGCCCCCTAGCTCTAACGCGACATTGTGATATTCTTTATTTCATTCAGGATCGGTTCCATCTTCGTCTTCACATCCCCAATGTGGTTTTTTGTCAAATGACGACGAGGCAATCTCCTGTGACAGGGCTGTGTCACCCACCAACCACCCACCCCAAACCCCGCTGCCCCAGCGCTTGATGACCCAAGTCCACCCACCTGCCATCTGGGGTCCGAAAAACCAAACTCGGTCGACAATCAAAAGGTAAACTCCAGCCAAACGCGATCAAGGCCTCGTCCTTCCCAATCAAAAGCCGCACCGAAAATACAAAGCCAAGCAATATCGAGTCCTCGGGATTCCCAATCGAAAGCGAAAGACAAAATCAAACCGCTCTCCATCTTTCTTCTCAATCTGAAGCTAAACAGGATCAAGGCGGGTCCGCAGGTAGCGTTGTGCTTGACAACACGGTGAGTCCTTTTCCTCCTTGTGGATGTTATCCAGTTCTATCATCTAGTTAGCCAAAGGGGTCAAACTGACCCCCCCCATTTTTCCTGTGTAATAGGTTACAATTTTCTCGAAATTGAACTGATTCGTTATCACAATAACAGCCCACCAAAAAAACAATGTGAGTCTCTTGCCGTTTGCTGATCACCAATCACCAAGTGGCCCAACTTTATCAAATCATTGCCTGTCCCTCACCGACCTCTTGCTGATCTTTTGCTCCCTGTCACCACCCCTTGTCTAACCTTCTGTCCCTTCCTCTTGGTGATTGACCCATTGATCACTTTCCTTTTTCCCCACCCTTGCCCACCCCTGTTTGTATACCAATAGAGACACGTCCATCAACGATCCCCCGTATCTGGCTCTGGCACCCACCTGGTTATTTGTAAACCTCACCAATCCCATCACACATGTGAGTTCAGATGCAACATCACACATCCCTAATTCATCATCCAACATCTCTGAACAGGCCAACTTGTAACGGGTGCTGTATGGCAGGGGGTGTGGCGTACATGTCCACTCACTGCCATATTGTGGGACCAACCTGAACCAGGCGTACTAGTCAGGGGGGGGTTGGTTCCTACTCTGGCCCCATGGCGCAGTTAGATCATGCTGGACATGTGCCCAAAGACCAACACTGACGGCCACAATTGTTTCCTCAGCAACATGGAACTTGAAGAGCGGCCAGTCATCAGGGGTATTGAGTACACCAAAACCGACGTAGACACCCTAGTCCGACAATTGTGCAAGGATCTCCATAGGCATCACACCGATCACCACACCATTGTCACCGATTTTGACCTTCTTGCTGTCTTCTTGATGCAAGAGATAGGCCCAAAGCACCACATCAGGCTGATCATCAGGATGCTAATTGATCAATTTGGCGGTGACTTACCCCCTCAGAACGCTCTCCAAAGCCAACTCCTCCATGCCGCCCAAGCTGTCAAGATAACCATTCAAAACTACGACGAAAAAATTACTGCAGCCAAGCCTTTCTGCCTTCGATACCCGACCTATTCAGACGTGCTTGACCACTCAATTTCGATGCAGGGACGGTGTCAAATTCTCACCAATGAACACATGGTTGTGTTGTTGGATGAAGCAGGTATTTGTATTGGTGTTGGAGTACCACCCATCTCACCTCACAGTCCAGTCCATTTACCACCTGCTGTATGTCAAACATGCATGAGCTGATCATTAAACTTCTGTATAATCTAACTAACACATCTATCTCCCCTTATTTGAACAGTCCAGGGCTGAGGAAATTCTCAACGAAATGGTTTCCAAATTATCATTGGACACCTCTGAGGCAGGCCTTGAATTTTCCTCCCAAACTCGTCCCGGTGTGCCCATGAGCCCCTTTCCACTCAACAAGTCCAACAAAGGCGAATCACGTGGTTCTAAAGCAGAAGATAAATCAAGCATATCTTTTCAAGCATATGGATACGGATTGGGTGATGTGAGTATGTTCTGATTGTTTCAAACATGACGGGGCTGAGTGACTTCTTATTCAGAAAAAATCGAAGGGCATGGCCGACCTCAAGATCCCAATCCACAAGAAAAAGATCAATCTAGCAGAGCTTCAAGGGTTTGATGATGCATGGAGGTCGATGAATGCACCTGTTCCCGTACTCCCAAATCCACTAAGGGATAGTCAAAACACCGAACACAACGAGGCCATGGCTAAGTTTCGAAATGAGATCACGTTTTATTCCAAACTGTCCTTGTGGATTAACAAATCCTTCTTACCAGAATCATCCAGAGTTGCGGAAGAGGCTGTCAACTACCTTAAGAATTCCGGATCAGATCTTCTTCAAGAAAACCTATTGCATGAAAACAATCCAATAATTGCGTGTGGGTGATGCATGAAATATGATTTACTGAATATATAACCTGATTACTGTTTATATTTAGCTCGCACTATCAGTGTGAACAATCAGGTCCGCACTCACAGGGATCGGAAGAATTCATTACTGTTCGACTCCACCTGCTTTTTTGGTAATCACCAAGGCGGTGAATTCCTCCTTCCGTCTTTGGGGGTGGCGTACCCAGGATTACACGGCTATTCTTTCCACGGTCCCCTTCGTATACTCTTACATGGTGTTGCACAGTTCTACTTCCTGCCTGATTTGCAAGGCCCCCCTCGTCAATATTCTGTAGCCTTTTGGAGTCGCTCAAGCTCATTTTCAGCTGTGGCAAGATCCTCTGCTCATGCAGCAGGTAACAAGGTAACATTACTTCACTCCATATAGTTATATCGTTTGAAACTTATCCTGATGGTTATATTTTATAGAATTATAGCAATCCACGATATTGGCTTCCGGTTTATCCCAGATACAGTAGTGAATCAGTTAACCAGGTGTTTCACCAACAAAAACTAGAGTCTAGAAAAAGAAGAAGAGAAATGATGTAGATAGAAAACAAATATCTTGTTCGGCTTAGATTGAATCTGTTTCTTGTTATTTTAAAGTGTTGGTTTTGTGTCAAATTCCTCAGAAGCTTGTCGAATTCACCAGAGGAAGCTTTCTATCATTTCATAAAGACTCAAATAAAATAAAGAGTAAAAAACAGTTATATTCAACTCGTATTGTTTGAACAGGGCTTCAACTTGATTTAATTATCACTAAGTACTATTTTAAATGCTCCAGATCGGATATCATCAATCCATTTCTTCTTGAAAGGGTTTTCCATTTTATTGAACCCCTTCATCAATTCTTCCTTAGGAAGTGTTGAGCCTTCTGACTGCACTATTTCCAGTCGGCGATTCTTCTTTAGCAAACGAGCTGAAGGATTAGGTACCTTTGGGAAGATACAACCTTTGACCGGAATTCCAAGAGTGTTTGCTGAAGGGAAAGTATTTCCATTCAGAAAAAATACACTTATATTTTTGAAAGGCTATATAATTACACTTACCGAGTGTTTGGTTCAGAGCTGCTCGAAGATCCTTTTTCAGTTGATCGGCTTCCCTAAGCTGCTTTGATGTGCTAACCCCACTTGCATCCTCGACTGCCTCTTGTATCTCTCTTCCGTGACTGTAAGCCTCGAACTTCTCTTTTGCTTTCCAATTCTTCTTGGCAAGAGCTAGCCAAGCAATGTCGTTGGACCACTCTTTACAAAAACTTTTGACTCCGCTGTCCCTTGTTGCAGCAAGGAGGTAGTAAGTTGTGTTGTATAAGGTCGACATGGTGAAGAGCTGTGCGTTTGGAATGGGTTAGCATTGTACTGAAAAATTAATGCAAACAGTGAATGACTGACTTCTCCATTCAACTTTTCTACACTCCTTTCCGCCTGCTCGAATGCCTTGGAGTTGTTGATGCCAATATGGACTCCTTCAGAGATAATTAAATTGACTTTTTCTTGGTTTACTAACTTCGTATAGAGGGGTTGGTAGAGTTCGATCTCTTCATGAGTGAGTTCGATTTCGGTGTCTTCATCATCGTCCCCAGTGTCCGGTTGGCAAGGTATTTTTGAGAAATACTGAAAGATGACCGGACTAAAAACATCTTTCTCTTCTTCAGAAAGCAAAGCCCAAGCTTCTCCAAGGTGAACATTGCGTTCTTCCCAACCGATTGAGCATCCAGGAGGAGGAACTGCGGGTAGGGGATTAGTATGGTCCATATTTGTTGGGAAAGGGTAGAAAAGATAAGGAAACTCACCAGGGGTGTTTGCACTCTCCACACTAAATGCTACATACCGATTCCAACCACTTTTTCTTCTAGCCGGTTTATTTTCACCCCTGCAAATAAGTTCTTTCATCTATTTCAATCCACCAAAGCTATTGTGGATGTAAAATTGGGATCACTCACAGCCATTTGTTAACAGTACCTTCACTAATATTTCCAATCAAACCAAGCATGAGCTTGCTTTTGGTGTAGTTTTTCTGAAGCAATGTGAGTCAATCTTGAACTTCAGGTGGAATCCTATTGGATCGGGTGTCTTTGTTTTTGTTGAGTGTTTGGCGCAGTTGAAGTATTGACCAATTGTCTAATTGGCTTTCGAAGTTGTCAAGAGTTAGTTGGATATTGTTGGAGCCGGAGTTACATTGGCCAGACTCAGTTGCAGAAGACCTATGTTGCTGGGTTGCTGTGGGCTCAGGGGTGGTATCGCGGTGGTCATCCTCATCAGTATTTTCGTCCGTATTCTCATCAGTATGGTTAGGTTGTCGCTTTCCGGATGTTGCCTTCTTTCTGGAAGAGCTAGCTTGCTTTCTGACTGCATGTCCTTTTTTATGGGTGGCCTGGGTCTTTGCAGCGGAACTGGTCCTTTTTGAGCTGCTGCGCGTTTGGTGAGCTCGGGTCGATCGAGTTGCAGCCATTGGGTGGTTCTGGTGCTGAGATTGATTAGTTGGGTGGGTTGAGTTGGGTGGGCTGAGTTGTGGTGGTAGATTTGGGTGGGCGGAGTTGGATGGGTTGAGTTGGGTTGGCTGAGTTGGGTGGGCTGAGTTCCGTTTGAGTTGCACTGGAAGGATAAGTTGGGAACTGGGGTTGAGTTGGTTCAGCTCCGGCTCAAGTTTGATCTGTGGGTTAGGTTTCAATTTTTTGCTGTGAAAATTCCCTGTGAGCCAAAATTTTTTTCAGGGAGGGAAGTTGTAGAGGAAAATGAGCTTGTTGAGCTGGATTTCTCGGAGGGAAGTTGATCTGGGTGAGCTGGAAATTGAGCTGTGTGAGCTGGAAATTGAGCTGTGTGAGCTAGAAATTTAGTGGGTAAGTTGAGCTGCATGAGTGTGAAATTGAGCTGGGAAAGCTGTAATCTGTAATGTTAGTGGGGAAATTGAGCTGGGTGAGCTGTAATCTTAGTGGGCAAGTTGAGTTGGGTAAGCTGTAATCTTAGTGGGCAGATTAAGCTGGGTGAGCTTTATATTAATTGGTAAAAAGAGCAGGGTGAGCTGTATTTTCTGTGGGAAACTGAGCTTTGTGAGCTGGATTTTTATTGGTGTATGGAGCTGGATGAGCTGGATTTTCAGTGGTGTATGGAGCTGGGTGAGCTGGAATTTTACTGGGAAACTGAGCTGGGTGAGCTGGATTTTTACTGGGAAAGTGAGCTGGGTGAGCTGTATATTTATTGGTAAAGTGAGCTGGGTGAGCTGTATTTTTAGTGGGCAAATTGAGCTGGGTGAGCTGGATTTATAGTGGTGTATGGAGCTGGGTGAGCTGGATTTTCAATGGTGAATTGAGCTGGGTGAGCTTTATCTTAATTGGTAAAAAGAGCTGGGTGGGCTGGATTTTTAGTGGTGTATGGAGCTGGGTGAGTTATATTTTTAGTGAGAAAATGAGATGGTTGAGCTGGATATTTACTGCGGAACTGAGCTGGGTGTGATGGATTGTTAGTGGGAAACTGAGCAGGGTGAGCTGCTAACTTATCAAAGTCCCACCCAGTTGCGGTTGGGCGTGCAGTGGTGAAGCACTGAACCCCGCCCGACCGCAGGGAGGGACTTATGCCTAAAGTGAGGGTACTCAACCAAGGCCACCCACCAAAAAATTGAAAAATTGAGTAATCAATTTTTACAGACTGTAGTTTCAACACAGCCGGGCCCAGCTACTGGAAGGTAGGATCTACCTGACTCTGCTGATTTTTAGAGCTCACAAGCTTCAATGTCCACCAAACCATTGAATTTCAAATAAATTGTGAATCGAACTCAGATTCCCCTATCTTGCCTGCAGCTCAAGTTTTCCATGTTCTTGTTTGACAGTTTTGAGTTCGATTTTCTTGTAGGCAACACTTTCTGCAAAACTGAGTAGAGAGAAAACAACAAGAGATGCAACTGCATCTTTCCTTTGCTGGAACGACATGTGTAGCTCATCAAATGAGGGAGCTACAGGTTGTGTAATACAGTTGATTGCTCAGATCCCCTCTGGTGAGTAGGGGCACTTTAGTCCTAAGTCCCTCCCTGCGGGAGGGGTGGCTTCGCCACCAGCCAGTGCTTCACACCAGCGAGCCTCCCACCAGGGGGACTTTGTTAAGTTAGGGTGAGCTGTATTTTTATTGGTAAACTGAGTTGGGTGTGCTGGATTTTTAGTGGTGCATGGAGCTGGGTGGGCTGGATTTTTATTGGGAAAATGAGCTGGGTGGGCTGGAATTATAGTGGTGTGTTGAGCTGGGTGAGCTGTATTTTAGTGTGAAAATCAGCTGGGTGAGCTGGGTCAGCTGGATTTATAGTGGGCAAATTGAGCTGGGTGAGTTGGATTTTTACTGGGAAAGTGAGCTTGGTGAGCTGGATTTCTAGTGGGCAAATTGAGCTGGGTGAGCTGGAGTTTTACTGGGAAAGTGAGCTGGGTGAGCTGGATTTTTAATGGTGTATGGAGCTGGGTGAGCTCGAATGGTAGTGGGCAAATTGAGCTGGGTGAGTTGGA